TTCACCCATCAATGGAGAAAGAGGCTGTTTCCACCTTTTGACTACTGTGTATAACGCTGCCATGAACATGGGGACACAAACACACCCTGCTCCAGTGTGCAAGTCCCATGGAAGTGATCTTTCTAAACAAATCTACTTATGCCACCTCCCTGTTTACACTTTGAAAGACACCAATTCCCTGCCAGGCTAACCTTGGCTGCAGGTCCTGCTTCACCTCCACCCTCATGGCCTTAACCTCCCAACACCCCAGTGCTTAGGCCCCACATCTGCCTGCTACTCCAGGAACACCCGTGTTGTTCCCAGCACAGTATGTTTGCACATACAATTTGTTTCACACACTTCCCCCACCTGTGCACACACTTCTCTGAACCTCTGCTTGTCCTCTGTCTTCCATGAACCAAGGCAGATGACAAACATGAACCTACTCATCCATCGAGGCTTTAGGGTCACATCTCCAAGCCCTCCCCAGAACAACTCTGCCCTTTCCTTCTGCCTACACACAGATCTCACCTCTGCTCTCCAAGCACGTCCCAGCAGATGCTGGGCTCCCGGAAGACAGCAAGTGTCTCCCTGTCTGGTTTCTAATCCCAGCAGTTAGCAGTGCCAGACCTACAACTAACACTCAGATCTTTAGGGAATGAATTAAAAGTTTGGCTTCTGAATGTATACTCTTAGCACTCGAGATAAATTGGGGTTTTATTTACATGTGTCTTGACGTAGTTTACCACATGCAGTACGGTGTGGTGGACACATTCACCCCCTGCAGGAACACTACTCGATGCGAGGAACAGTACTGTTAGAAACACCTGTCTGCATGCGTCTTCGTGTAGTGCGTGAGATGTATCTGGTGCGGTGAACACATTTACTCACTGAACTAAGACTGCTGTGATTCACATGTGCAAGGAGCATTTAAGAAACATCTTATAAAGGCAACTTTACGTAACACAATACATGCATGAAAACCAGAACTCTTAGAAAGACATTTCATACTGTGTCTTTACGTGCACCATAGGGGGCGAGCACAGTCACTGTAATGACACTACCCTGATGCGACAAATGACTGGCACTCTTAGAACTTTTTCTTTTCTCTTTTGGAAAGAAAGGGTCTTCCCCTGTCTGCCAGGCCAGAGTGTGGTGGCGCCATCACAGCTAACTGTAACCCCAAACTCCGGGGCTCAAGCGATCCGCCTACCTCAGCCTCCCAAGTAGCTGGAGCCACAGATGCGCACCACCACGCCCAGCTAATTTTTTTTTCCATAGAGGTACAGTCTAGTTCTGTTGCACAAGCTGATCTCAAACTCCTGGCCTCAAGCAATCCTCCTGTCCTGGTCTCTCAAAGTGCTGGGACTAACAGGCATGAGCTACCATGCCCAGCCTCCAATATTTTGTTTTTAAAACCATGTGTAAGTTGGGTTATGTAGCTTCCAATTCCTGAAAAAAGACCAATAAGTAACGACATTTTTTCCAAAGGCTTCCCTCTGTAAGCAGGCCTGAAACCCGTCTGTGTTCTACTTCATTTCTCTCTCTCTCTCTCTCTTTTTTTTTTTTTTTTTTTTTACAGGGTCTTGCTTGTTGCCCAGGCTGGAGTGCAGTGGCACAATCTTGGCTCACTGCTACCTCTGCCTCCCAGGTTCAAGCGATTCTCCTGCCTCAGCCTCCCAAGCAGCTGGGACTACAGGCATGCGCCACCATGCCCGGCTAATTTTTGTATTTTTAGTAGAGATGGGGTTTTGCCTGTTGCCAAGGCTGGTCTCGAACTCCTGACCTCAGGTGATCCATCTGCCTCGGTCTCTGAAAATGGTGAGATTACAAGTGTGAGCCACCTTACTCAGTCTCTGTGCTCTATTTCAGAAGGAACACACCTCTTTAAAGCAAAAGGGCTACGTGTAACCAAGAAAACTCTCATATTTGGAATGTAGAAAAGTTTTGTATAAACTGATAAGGGAGGAAACAGACACCAAAGGAAAAACAGGCAGAAGATTTGGTCAGGCATATCACAAAAGAGGACGCTCAAATCACCAAGGCATGTGAACAGTTGTTCCACATGAGTCACCAGGAAGGCCATCAAAGCCACATGAGATCCTATTACCCATCAGAATGACTAAAATTGAAGACTGACAATGCCACGAGTAGGGAAGGAGAGGGAACAACTGGAACTCTCGACAACGTGCATGTGAACGCGTACAACCACTATGCAGAATTATTCAGCAGTGGTTCTTAAAGCTACACACACATCTACCCTCAAACTCAGCAGTTGTGTTCTTGGGTATACCTCTAGCAGAAATGAATGTCTGTGTTAGCCAAAAGACAAGTATAAGAATGTTCATTGCAGCTTCATTCATAAGACTCCAAAATTGGAAACATTCAAATGACCAACAGCAGCAAAATGATAAAGAAGCTGCAGTTATAGTCAGGCAACGGAATACCACACCGCGGGAAGCAGGAACGGACGACTGTAGCACGCGGCCAC